TGGTTAAACTAATTTACATTTCCACCAGCAGTGCAGGAGGGTTCCCCTTTCTCCACATCCTTGCCAACATTTGTTGTTGTTTGTCTTTTGGATGGTGGCCATCCTTACTGGTGTGAGGTGATATCTCATTGTGGTTTTACTTTGCATTTCTCTGATGATTAGTGATGTGGAGCATCTTTTCATGTGTCTGTTGGCCATCTGAATTTCTTCTTTGGAGAACTGTCTGTTCAGCTCCTCTGACCATTTTTTAATTGGATTATTTGCTTTTTGTTTGTTGAGGTGCTTGAGCTCTTTATATATTTTGGGTGTCAATCCTTTATCAGATATGCCATTTATAATATATTCTCCCATACTATAGGATGTCTTTTTGTTCTATTGATGATGTCCTTTGCTGTACAGAAGCTTTTCAGCTTGATATAGTCCCACTTATTCATCTTTGCTTTTGTTTCCCTTGCCTGGGAGGATATGTTCATGAAGAAGTTGCTCATGTTTATGTCCAAGAGACTTTTGCCTATGTTTTTTTCTAAGAGTTTTATGGTTTCATGACTTACATTCAGGTTTTTGATCCATTTTGAATTTGCTTTTGTGTATGGGGTTAGACAATGATCCAGTTTCATTCTCTTACATGTAGCTGTCCAGTTTTGCCAACACCAGCTATTGGAGAGACTGTCATTTCTCCATTGCATATCCATGGCTCCTTTATCATATATTAATTGACCGTATATGTTGGGTTAATATCTGGACTCTCTATTCTGTTCCACTGGTCTATGTGTCTGTTCTTGTGCCAGTACCAAATTGTCTTGGCTACTGTGTCTTTGTAGTAGAGCTTGAAGTTGGGAAGCGAGATCCCCCTGCTTTATTCTTCCTTCTCAGGATTGCTTTGGCTATTTGGGGTATTTTGTGGTTCCATATGAATTTTAGAACTATTTGTTCCAGTTCATGAAAGAATGCTGTTGGTATTTTGATAGAGATTGCATTGAATCTGTAGATTGCTTTAGGCAGGATGGCCATTTTGACAATATTAATTCTTCCTACCCAAGAGCATGGGATGAATTTCCATTTGTTAGTGTCCAAAATGGTAAGTTTTATATTATGTATATTTTACCATAATTTTTAAAAACAAATAATTTTTGAAAAAACAGCAGCATAAGACAACAATAATTATAAAACTATGTTGATGTTTTTATAATGTGTAAGATATCATTTGTATGACAATAATTAAACAAAGGATTGGGAGGAAATGGAGTCTTACTGGAGTAGAGCTTCTATATGCAATTCACATTAAGCTAGTATTAATCCAAACTAAATTGTTTTAAGTTGCTAATTGCAACCCCAGGGCAATCAAATAACAAAGAAAATAACTTAAAAATTATAGTGAAAGAAACAATAAGGGAATTAAAATGGTACAATAGAAAATACCTATGTAACACAAAAGAGGGACAAAGACATAAGACAGAAAACAAATAGCAAAATGGCAGACATAAATACTGTCTTAATGGTAACTACATTAAATGTAAATGGGTTAAGCTTTCCAATTGAAAGGCAGATGTTGGTAGACTGGATTAAAAAAAAATGCAGAAAAAGAACATGACCAAACTGTATGATATCTACAAAAGACACACTTTAGTTTTAAAGACAGAAATACATTGAAAGTAAAAGGAAGGAAAAATAAATACATACCATGCAAACAATTCTAAAAGAGAGCTGGAGTGACTATACTAATATTCAACAAAATAGACTTTAAGACAAAAATTCCTATAAGAGACAAAATAAAGCAAGTTCCTGGTGCAGGGTCTCTGCAGACAAAGTCCAGAAATACATATATTTATCTTTAGTTCAGAAGCTTCTCCTGAACACTAATGTTTAATAATCTTTGGTGAATATAGTAGGCCCATGGAGGACTTAACTTAGCCTATATTTTGTTTTAAAAGTGTTTGAATACATTGCTAACATTTAAAAATCAGGAGACTTGTGTCTTGTCTGAAGATTTCATCTGCAGGCAAGTTCACTATGGATTCAGTGAGACCTAGAAAAGACAAACTCTTGGGGTAAAAGGATTTATACCTGGCTTTATTCTCCCAGCAGTAGATTGAGAACTAGAATCAGATCAGCATTCTGCAGTCTGCAGGTCCATAATCTACCTCCATCTCTGCACTGGGAAGAGCTCTTTATATAGTGTTGCTCTAGGAGGAGAAGATTCCCTCCCTGGGTCAAGTTCCTTATGAATTCGCTGAGACTGAATTAAGGCAAGGACAAGAAGTTGGGGGTTTAAAAGGGGGTTCATTCTCACAGAAGTAGATCTCAGTCTCTCCTTGCTCCCTGCTCTTTCCAGCTGTGAGCCCTACTTCCCTGCCCCTGGCACTAGAAAGAACTCTGTGGGTGGGTCTCTGGTGACTGGCGGACCCCTGACCAATTATGTACCAGGAACACAGGGAAAGGAGAGCATGGTTGTTTCCTCTCCACCCCTCCCTTGGGCCAGTACTCTGTGACTGACCAGCAACTCTCTCCCAGGTAACCATCTGTGGATAAAATGAGAGTTCCTGCGGCCAGGATTCTCACCTGGCTGTGGTTGACTAGTTCACTGCACACCTGTGGGCAATACATAGGCTGTTGACTCTATATAAAGAGCTCTGCCCAGTGCTCTGGGCATGCCACAGTGGCAGGGCTGCAAGGCTACAGGAGAGCAGAACAGAGGCTGGAGTGGTGGCAGCACCAAGGACAGAAGGCCAGAGACAGCTGTGAAAAAGCTCTGCCCAGTGCTCTGAGTGGAGGCAGAGATGGAGGTGGATTACAGACCTGCAGACTGCTGGATGCAGACATGATTCTTGTGCTCGACCTATCACTGGGAGAATAAAGCTGAGTATAAACCCTTTTACCCCAAGAATGTTCCATTATCATTTCTTAGTCTCACTGAATCCATAGTGAACTTGCCTGTGGGTGAAACCCTCAGGCAAGACACTGGGGTCTACAGGTACTTTCTCCATTTCAGAAACATTTTAGGAGACCCCAACAATCATAGTAAGATGAAAAGTTGTATGGCTGACAGCAGCTCAGGGAGGTACTCTCAGGGGCACTTGTGTCTTAACAGATTCAGTGTGAGTCACATGAATGATCGAGAGTCTACTACTGCAATTTCAGGCACCTGCCAGGGAATTGTGCTATACATCCATTCAAATATTGGGGAGGAGGATCACACAGTCAATCTTACTACTGATGCTAAAATTGAAGTCAAACTATAAAAAGAAATGTCTTTGAAATGAGTTTATCTGCAAAATCCTTTCTTCAAATCAATTAATGGGAT